AACCTTTAAATTTCCCTTAAAACATTCAGGCAAATCCATTCTTATATTTCACCAGAGGGAAACAATGGGAATGCAGTTTCCTGAATTGAACCCAGCAGAGAATGCCTGCCCTTTATCTTTTGTCCATTGGACACTAATCAACTTTAACAGCCTCTTAAACTATTAATTAAATATACAAAATAAACTTTATTAACTAAATAAACTAAGTTTTTAGAGACTAATCCATCACATTTCCCTAAAAAAAAAAAATAAATAAAAAAAATCAGGTGCCCTGCACTGCTCAACTACTTTTTTTTTTTTTTTAAACACCAGGACATGAAACAGCAGAGTAGAAGTTTACACCTTCAGCAGCTTCACCTATTTATTTAATTAGCTTTAATTATAATCACAGGAATAATATTTAATTAAGGAAAATGTGATCAGTTTGGAAGCCATCATTTAATAGTCCCCCTGCCAAAAGGCACAACAAGCTTCAGTTAATTTTGTTGAAGGCAGCAAAATTTCCCCCAGAACCTTTAAAAAAAACAACAAAAAACAAACACCAAACACACCTAATTTCTGATCTTATCACCCGTGAGGCCTCTGAAAGGGCAAGTCTGAGCAGATCCCGGGGGTTTGTTTGACTCCAGCTCAGGAGGAAACGATTCTTATTCCACTTCTGAGAGGGCCTCCTTGCAATAAATCCCTTCTCCCTCCACGCCCTCCCCAAAAACCCACGTTTCTAAAGTCAAACTGAGGAGCAGGATGATCACAAGAGTTTGCAGAAATAGATTAAAAGGGAAAAAACAACCATAAAATCCTTTTTGCCAGACACACCAGCACCTGAATGTGCTCTCCAGATCTTTTAGGACTTTTTTTTTTTTCCCTTTTCACTTCAAAGGCTTTTCAAACATGTTTAGACAAAAAGAAAGAAAGAAAGAAAAAAAAAAGACCAATTATTAATCCTCTTGTCTGGTCTTTTAGCTTATGGGGCTTATTTTGGGGTGGTTTTTCTCCTTTTGCTGGCCATATGTTCTCTACTGGGGAGCTCTGGAGTGATCACAAACCATTAAAGCTTTAAAAACTTGAGGTTTTATGAAAAAATTTAAATCGATTCATGTACAGTCTGTACACAGACAGGATCTTCACTGCCGGTGCTAAATAATTCTGATCTCTCAACGCTCAAAAGTGGAGAAATTCCACCCAAACGCGAACGCAAAAGAAAATAAACAAACAGCCCAAGCTCTGCCTTCTGAACACACTGCCCTGAGCACATCCTGTGACACCACCCAGGATGTCACCGAGCGCTCTCAGACACCCAAAGTGACTCACTTTGTCCCGGGATAAACCCCCAGGACAGGATAAAAACCCCTCCAGTCCTGGGGATCCCCAGGGCTGGCTCTGCCGCCCCCTTGGCTCCTCTCGCAGCCCCCGATGCCACAAATTTGGCGAGCAAAAGGCGACCGAAAAAAATCGGCTCCGCGATAAAAAAAAAAAAACTCACCTAAAACTTTCAACTCCTCTTTAAACTCAGCCCTTAACACGTGGATAATGTGCGAGCACTTGCTTGTTAATAATGGGACAAGGCGAGTGTAACGAAACTGAGCTTTCCACCGTCTTTAAAACGCAGAAAAGTGGGAGTTTTTTTAAAAATATGGACGAGTTTTTCAGCGTTTTT